TCATTAGTCTGAGAGTAGTAAGGGCAGATCCACTGGATTGGCAGTAGCAGGGAAGCTTTCAGTTGACTCAGGAGGCTCTGTCCAGGGTGTTGCTGAGTTGGTGCTGGCTTGATAGCTCTGGTGGGGGGCTGGCTGGAGGCCCAGGTCTGAAGGACCTGCCTGGTGAGAAGATAATGGACACCCACATAGCAGTCTGGCCAGTTTTTTGTAGGGCTGCTGTGGTATGTTGGGGTCCCAGTCCAGTCACTAGTCACCTCAGGTTTTCCAGTACCTGGAGGTCAAATTTTGATTTGTTCTATTTTTATCCTCCATTCCTCCTCATTATCGTCAGGTTTTCCTTTAAATGTTTCAGAGAGTTTATTAAAGCTCTTTCAAAGTTCTTGTCTACTAATTTCATCTTCCTTTCCATTTCTGAATCTGTTTCTATTTATTGATTTTTCTTATGTTTATGTGTCACATCTTTCTACTTGTTGTAATATATAGCACTTTTATGGGAAGCAGGGCATTGCAGTAGTATGTTGTTGAATACTTGGATTTTGTATTTTTCTTTTAAAGAGTGTTGGATTTTGTTTTGGCAGACAATTAAGTTATTGTGGGTAAGCTTGATCCTTTTGTAACTTATGTATAAATTTTATTAGAGTGGACCTAAATTAGCCTTTACCCTTAAACAAGCTTTAATATAGGAGCTGGTATATGTCTATAATTATGCTCTACACAGTGGTTAGGATGTTCAACAAAGTGTCTCTATTCTTCCTACTTGAAACTCAAACATGTCCCAGACCAATGTGAAATTATTGGAAATTATTCAGCTTTTTAATTCTTTGTCTCATAAAGTTTCACCCTATGTGTATGTATCATAGTATTCAGCAACATATTTAAGGGAATGCGTGTGTGTGTATTTTTGGAACTCCTTTTCTTAGTAGCATCCTTTTTCTGTGCTCTGTCTTGAAAACTCCAGGTATCTCAGCCTGTCTAAACTCCATCTGTCTTTTCAAACCAGTGAGGTGATGGTGCTCTGCTTGGCTTTCTTCCCCCTACTCCATGGTCTAGAAAATGTACCAGGTAGAAGTCTAAAGTGACCAAGGTCTCATTTTTTCCTCTTCTTTCAGATATTACAGTATTCTACTGTCTAATGCCCAGTGTCTAAACTCAACTTTTAATTTTTTTTTTCAGTTTTATAGCATTTTTTTAAGTGATGGGAGGGTAAGTTATTATTTCATGTCCAGGGACCAGCACCCGGTTTTAAAAAACAGATTGTTTCTAAGCTCTGTTTGAAGTTTTATGGTAAAAACTTATTTATGTTTTCTTGAAAAACTTAAATTATGTCATGTTCTGTTTTTATATATTAAGCTGGGATTTTGCTTCCTATAACTTTTTCACAGATTATAGTTATATCTTAAATCTGTAGGCTTCAGCTACATTGCATAGATCTGTTTCTTCTTTTTTTTTTTTTTTCACATGACAGCTGTTTGAAATTTGAAGACAGAAAGTACTTTTTTTTTTCCCCCTGAGAAATGGTTTTCTGAATCTTTCATAATCTTGGATGCTTTTTGGATATTGTCAGGTTCAAAATATTTTTTCTAAAATATATTTCCTATAAATAATAAAAACATTCCAGATGTGGTCTGATGAAATCATGCATATGGGATCGATCTTGTGTTATCAAATGATTAATAACTTTTATTTAAATATTGTTACTAGCACACTACCATAGAATCTATATAATGTCAACAAAATGCCAGTTTTAGCCTCTTTTTTATTACAAAATATAGGGTTATACAGTCACAGAATTCGAAGTAGAAAAAAACTATTGGGAACAGTTTACGCAACCATGCCATTCTACTGAGAAATCTTTTTTTTTTTTTTTGAGACGGAGTCTCACTCTGTCGCCCATACTGGAGTGCGGTAGAACGATCTTGGCTCACTGCAACCTCCACCTCCCTGGTTCAAGCAGTTCCCCTGCCTCAGTCTCCCAAGTAGCTGGGATTACAGGCACATGCCACCACGCCCGGCTAATTTTTTTGTATTTTTAGTAGAGATGGGGTTTCACCATGTTGGTCAGACTGGTCTCAAACTCCTGACCTGAGGCAATCCACCCGCCTTGGTCTCCCAAAGTGCTAGGATTACAGGCATGAACCACCATGCCCGGCCTCTACTGAGAAATCTTTATTGCCTCCCTGTCACTTTCAGCAGAGCCCAAAGTCTTAATGGTGCAAACACAGCCTTGTCTACTTTTCTTCATTTGTTATTCATCTTTGGCTCTATGATTTTTTGCTTCAGTAATCTTTTGTATTTCATAAATAGATTTCTTTCAGGGGTTTTTTTCCATGCTGTTTTCTTGCCTAGAATGTCCTTTCTAACATGATTTCTTACCTAAAATTACATATCCTTTAAGAATCTTTACAGATACTGATTCATCCAGGAAGACTTTCTTCTTTTTAAAGCACTAAGGATGAGCTGGCTGCTCCTTCTCTTGCACCCGTAATTTTTTGAATAACTCTATCATTGCATTTAGTACATTTTACCATAATATCCAAAGTACTTGTCTATCTGGAATACTGAGGATCTTGACTAGTATTATTTATCATTGTATCACTAGTGTTTAGTAAAACATCTGGGACATAGCGTAAGTGAAATAAATGGCTATTAAGAAGAAAATGAGTTTTACAAATTGGAAAATTGAGTTCTGAGAAACCAACTTGTCTAAGGACACAGAGCTAAATCATCATAATCAAGTCATAGAACTGAAATTCTACATGTTTTTGAAATTGTAGTTTAATTTTCAAAATGTTAGTTTTTGCATCTTAAATAGAGAAAGCTCATGCCAGGCAAAGCTCATGCCATAGTTTCCTAGAAAGTAGTGTTAGGCAAATGTTTATGTTTTAAGACTTTCTTGGGGAGTGTAGTCTTTGAGATGTGGGAGAGAGGGAAAAAGGAGTGAGGCAGGAAGTAAAGAAAATGAATATGAGGGGGTGTGTTACTGAGTTAGCCATCGCTTGACGTCAAGTATAATGACTGTTTAATTTGGTAGGACTATTGCTGGAGAGACTGCATGATCTACTGGTCTTATGACAGTCCTTCTAGAAAGAGGAAGGGAGATAATTTATGTGCCAGATTCGTCTCTTACTGGTCTGAGATTGGTTCCACAAAGATGGCCTCTCTAAGGTTATAGATTGAATAGCATGACTGTCAATTGGGTTCCAGGACATCTCTAAATGTCAGGGAGGACTTATTTCAATCTGCTTCAATTGTACCATGAAAAATATGTCACAACTTTCTTATATAGCTCTTATTTGTTTTATGAAATTTTTACATAATAGAATTGGCTCTTTGCTAACGTTGAGACTGCATTTTGACTGTTTTTCCTCTCAAGCATTCTGGGCACTGGAGTGGAGAAAATGAAGTAAACAGAAAAATGGCAAGCATGATGTGTAATGAATTAAAGTTATTTCCCCTAAACTTTCCCCCTAATTTTCTAAATGATAGACACCAAATCCAAGAACCTTTTTCGGGAAATAGTGTTGTCCCTAGAGATTCCTAAGAGCTTTGGTAGTCATTTTAATTCATCATTTTTAGAAGTTCTAAACTGTTTTTATGTTTTTGAATTTGATAATTATCATTTACCAATTTCTCCTACCCTGAGAGATAGTATATAAAGCATGTTCTTTAGTAGACTATTGCAAGGACAGAAAACAATGGTCAGAAAACAAAATAACACATAAAAACATGCTTAGTCAAGGCTTTTAGATTCCCTTATCAACTCTTCAGAGATAAGTATGGTTAAAAGTTTGGTACATATTCTTCCAATTTTTATGCAACTTATGTGCAAACTTACACCTAGAGAAACTTTTCTATATTCCCTGCTCTGTACCTAGTCTCTTAAGCTAGCTAGCTTTCTTTTCTCTTTCTTTTTTCCTTCCTTCCTCCCTCCCTTCCTTCCTTCCTTCTTTCCTTCCTTCCTTCCTTCCTTCCTCCTTCCTTCCTCCTTCCTTCCTTCCTCCCTCCCTCCCTCCTTTTCCTTTCCTTCTCTTCCTTTTTCTTTCTGTCTTTCCTTCTTTTCTTCTTGTAATTACACACATTACTGTGATGATTATTCTATCTGCATAACAACTTTGGGTAAATTCATATGTAATCACTAAAAGTGGAATTGTTTGTTCAAAGGGAAGGCAGGATAGGTATTGCAAAATATATTGTACCATTGGACCCTCCTTAAATAGTTGAGAATGCCTGGTTTCTTCCTCATTCAAATGAGTATTAAGTATTTCAATCTTTGCTAATCTGATGCATAAAAAATCTCATTGTTCTGATTTGTATTTATTTGATTATTAAGATTCAAGATCTTATTATTTGTTTATTGGTCAATTCTGTGAATTGCTTTTTGAAGTCTTTTCATGTTTGTTTGTAAAGTTGGTAAACTAATTATTTTTATTCTTTTTTATTTACAAAGATAGGTCTGTTTATTTTAGTATTAATTTGCAGATAGTTTTGCTGTTTTGCATAGTAACCTATTTCAAATGGATAGAAAACTTTTTTCCATTATTTTAAAATTTGCTTATAGTGTTTTATAATTTGGTTTGTGGGATTATTTGTTATGAAACATTTGAATGACTAAGTTCTCAAATGTATTGATCTTTTCTCTTTATAGTTTCTGTGTTCATATTACTATTATAAAGATCTTTTTCATTTTAAAATTATGAAATATTCTTTTTGTTTTTACATTTTAATCTTTAAGTTGTCTTGATTTTACTTGTAAGCATAGCAAGAGGTTGTGTAATACCTAAAACGAAATAGTGACTCCAATTTCTGCACGCAATACATATTAAGTAGTCTACCTTTTACTCATAGATTTAAAAGGTAATCTCTATTATATATTGGAGTTTCATGAATCTTTGGGATCTTATCTTGTCTGTTGATATATACTCTTATGTGCTATTATGATACAATTTTATTATGAATTCATAGTATATTCATACATTTGCTTAGTCATTTGTCTGTTTTAGGTACCGTGTGAAGGTCTGGGCATATAACAGGAAACAAGAAAGATAAAGCCCTTGCTTACATAGAACTTGGTGAAGAATCTAGACCATAAGAAGCACACAGAGAAAATGTATCACAAATTGTGCTAAAGTTCTGTAAAAGGATTAAGATGGAGTGTCACAAGACTGAATTAGACAGAGTGCCCTTGAAAGAGGTCAGTTGATGAGCAGTCTTTATTTCTTATGCAAGTTGAATTCCCCTTTATCACATAACAGAACATATTTACAGGTTCCAGGGATGAGGCCATGGACCTTTCCGGAGGCTCATTATTCTGCCACCTGCAAGAGGAGAGAGAACTGTTGTGCTGTGTGTGAGACGAAACCTGGGATGAGCTAAGGATGGAAGCTATGGTCTTTTTTATTATGGCAAAGAGTTTAGATTTAAGTGAAAAGCAGTCATGGGGGTTTTTTACAGGGCCATACCATGATTTGATGTAATTTTTCAAATATCTATTTTTAACAGAGTTTAATTGTCAATACAATCATTTACTCTTAGTTGTTAACCCTAGAACAGAAAAGCTAAAAATTTTTCAAAAAGAAAAAACAGGAGGAATTTTGTTTGAACCATGCTGAATTTATTGAAATATTTTATCAAGTGGTATCTTTATAATATTTAGTCTTTTGACTGTACAGGATTTATACTTCCATTCATTTGTGTTTTTAAATGTATACTTTTAAAAAATACTCTTTATCTTGGAACTGTGTATTTCATGTGAGATTTAACCTTATATATTATGTAAAATTAAAAAATATTTTGATGTTATATCACTGATTATTTTTAGTTAAATTAAGTGCTATTGATTTTGTATATTTTTGAAAAATCTAGCAACCTAGTAAAATTCACTTATTCTAAAAATTTTCACTCAATACTTTTAGGCTTTCCAGTTAGATAATTTTCGTATAATCTTAATTCTTTCATTTTATATTTACACATTTAACTTAAATTGCACTGATAAAGGCTTACAGTATAGAAGTGATAAGTGTAGGTATTGATTAGTAATGAATACTTACTTTATTAAGTGACTTACTTTAGCATGTATCATTTTTGTCCATTAGTGTGTAATGCAATGAATTATATCATGATATTTCCTCAGTATTAAACTATTTTTTATTTCTGGAAACAATGAACACTGCTTTTCTCTTGGTACAATATTCTTTACTTCTGCTGGACTTTATGAGCTAATATTTACATTTAAGATATCAATAAAGTATATACATAAGTGATGTTTATCTATTATAATTTTTATGCTATCTTTATTCATTGAATATTAATGATATAGCAGCTTTATGAATAATGTTTGAAGGATCTCATGTTTTTCTAGTCTCTGGAGCAAAATTAAAAACTTGACCCTTTGCTAAGATTTATGAATCTGGTGCCTTTGTTATGGGTCTATTCAGGGTTTCGAAATATTTTGTGAAGTTGGTCATTTATATTTTCCAATAAAATAATTGTATTGGCCAGGCACAGTGACTCACAGCCATAATCCCAGCACTGTGGAAGGCCAAGACAGAAGGATCACTTGAGGCCAGGAGCTCAAGACCAGCCTGGGCAACATAACAAGCCTCTACCTCTACAAGAATTAAAAAAAAAAATTAGCTAAGCATGGTGGCATGCAGTTATAGTCCCAGCTGTTTGGGAGGCTGAAACAGGAGGATTGCTTGAGCGCAGGAGTTTGAGGCTACGGAAAGCTGTGATAGAAACACTGACTTCGAGCCTGGGTAAAAGAGTGAGACCCTGTCTCTAAAATAATAGTAACTATTAATATTATATTTATAAGTTTATTGCTATAAAGTTATACTTTATTCCTGTATAACACTTTGACCTCTAAATTTTAGCCTTTAATCTGTGTCTCTATGGATGATTTTTAAAAAATCTTGTTTCTTTATTCTTGGGAATATCTGTAAGAAGTTTTTATTTTAAAAGTATTTTGAAAAATGTAGCTTACTTTAATCAATTATGCTTATTTAAAGTATTAATTTCTATTTTCCTTTTATTGTTTCTGCCATCTAACTTTCTCTAAGAGAAGACTGACTACCAGTGCACGTGGATGGATAATTTCTTGATAAAATGGATGTCTCACTGTGCTGAAGAACAAAGAAACAAATTTCTGAGTTCATTATGCATTTCACTCCTTAGATAGAATATTTACAACTTTAGCACTTAGATTTCTAAATTCTTTTGATTCTTCTTTGATTCATTTATCATAGTATCTTGCTCTTGATTTATGGATGCCATATGTTCTAAATTTCCATGGAGAATGCTAACTTTATCTCTTTTTTATTGTATTAACTCTTGTTTCATTAGAGAAATGATATTTACTGCCTTTGAGCTTCTTTTCAGAATACTGAGTATGTTCCTGTGTCACCTTATTTGCCAATAGTGCCAGTTTTTAGAATGGAGGGTATAGATCCATCCTTTGCAACTGGGGAGGACCTCCTCAGTAAGGCACGGAGCCAGGATTCTATGCAGCCGTGCAAACAGGTAAGTATGCTTACCTTCCTCTCTGGGTTACAAAGTCAATTTGCGTTGCTGCAGGCATATCTTTTCACCATGACAACACTTGGTGTTTTTTTTGTTTTGTTTTTGTTTATTGTATTTTCTTTACTAGGGAAACACTACACACACAATGAAAAGACATTCTTTTCCTGTCTGTGGTGGAATCGTCCAAGTTGTTTGGCTTGATTTCCAGTGTCGACTTTCTAAACCAACAAGATTTTAATCCTCTGATGCCAGAATGTTAGGAGTGTCTGTTTGTGGGCTGGATTTTAGTTGCCGAGGTGGTAAGTATGTGGGGAAAGAATTACTGTAGAAATTAAAGTTTCCAGGGATTTTATTGCTGTGCTGAGTCATTTATCCTTTTTGTGTGTTGGGGCTAAAAGTTATCTGGAGAACTATTTATCTTTTCTCTCTCTTCTATTGCCAGTAATCGAAGTCTTCTTTGCCAAAGTCCCAATTTTCTATTGATCAAGCTAAACTTCTGCATGATCAAGCTAAACTTCTGCATGGTGTGAATGCTATAGTTAAATGCATTCTGTGTTTAGGAAAGGCACAGTTCTTAAAGTCACGCTGCTATCTCACACCGGGCTTCCATATCGCTTCCTCTTTCAACCCTGAGTTGTGTGTTATTTTGTTGAAAAAATATTATTTCTAATGTTTCAAAAAGCTTTCCTTTGCTTGAGTTCAGTTATGAGTGATATCTACTTGTCATCATCAATAAATTTTTTAGCTGATGTGATGACTGAAGCCTGTAATCCCAGGACTTTGGGAGACTGAGGTGGGAGGATCACTTGAGCCCATGAGTTCGAGATCAGCCTGGGCAACACGGTGAGACCCAGTCTCTCCGAAAAAAAGAGAATTTCTTCAATTTCTTGTCCATTGATAGTACATGTCTCTGGCATAATGCCTTTCTTTCTCTTCATTTTTCTTACGTGCATTTTTTGTTGGTGATGAAAATAATATTTGGGAAAGAAAAAAATGTATCCGGATCAAAAAATTGGAATTTGTAATTTGGTTCATTTAACAATTAATAGTTTTCCACACGTGTTTCTTCTTCCAATAATTTCTAGGGCATTCTAAACTTTCAAATGTCACCCATGCACTTTGTCACTTTTAGTGAAAGCTGAGGAGTTACAGTAGAGTTTGTTCAGAATCTGTGGCTTCTCAGTGATGGAGAGCACTTTGTTAAGCATTTTATTGAAATGGGAAGGCTTAATGGCCTTGTTTGTCCTAAGGCTTTTTTTTTTCAGTCTCTGAAAATAAAATTATATGCTAATATGTAGATGAATTCTATATTTTTTGAAGTTACACAGCTCTTTACTGGAAAGGACCTCGAATACAATTTCTCTAAAAACTAATGTAGATCTCTTCTATTATTCCAAAAAGTCTGCCTCATTTTTTTAAACCTGTCAGGCATGTTTGGTCTAACCCTCCATATCCAGGTGGGTAAGTTGTCATTTAACTACATTTTGCAGGTGTGGCAAGTGAGGCTCATAAAATTTAAGTAATTCTCAAGATACCTAGTAAGAAAACGCTAGAATCTAAACTGTCTATTTCTAGTTAAAGTTATGCCGCTATCTCCCACAGGGCTTCCATATCACTTCCTCTTTCAACCCTGAGTTACGGATTATTTTGTCAAAAAAACTATTATTTCTAATGATTAGGAAAGTTTTCCTTCCCTTGGGTTCAATCATGAGTGATATCTATTTGTCATCATCAAGAAATGTTTCAGCCAAGCTGCTCCTACATCACATGTGCTCTCTAAATTTAATAATAAAAAATTAGTAAAAAAAATTTTATCAAGTATCTAATCTGTGCGATATACCACTATGGCCAGAAGGGATGTGCAAAAGTGAATATGGCATGATTCTGAAGAGTTAACAATGATCAGGTTGAAGAAAAAAGCAGGGAAGATCTAAAATCACGTCACTGAGCTCATTGACAGAGACAATAACCATTATAAACAACCGGAAGAACAATAGAAAGATGCACAGTAAGCACAGGTTTTTATTGTCAGAATAGCATCTTTATGATGTTATAGAACTGGAGTTGCTTCCGGCATGTTAACTTAAAAAAGTTACCTGGAGTATCCTGGAGAATTTGATGTCTCTAGAAGCTGTTGCCTGTCTTGTGTCATCATGGATGCTTCCTGGGCTCCCGGTGGCTCCTTGGCTCCAGTTATTGACCATGACATTTGGTGTCTGTCCTACTTGGCTTTGGATGTTCTTGACCCCTGGATGCCCCTGTTCACCCCTGTGACCTGGGCCTCTACCAGGATCTGAACCTGCTGATTCCTCGCTGCTTCCTTGCTGCTTTTCAGTACTGACTTCTGCAAATTCCTGGTTTAAATTCTGCTTAGCCCAGCAGTGAGTGCCAGTGGGGACATATGTAGGCAAAGCGAATGGAGGGTTACATAACTGCCCAAACAACTCTTGCCAAATTCAGTTCAGCCAGAAGTATTCATTTTGATGGGGGTTAGGTATGTAGAAAAGGAATCTTTTTATCAGACCTCTTAATTTAGTAATTCTTGGTTTCAATATGCCATACAATAAAGGAGTCCTAGTTTTATTATTATACAATACACTGAGTAGAGACAATTAAAATATATTCTGTAACTAAGAGGTCTGTTGTAGAAAAGATAACTAAAAATAGGAAATCCCAAATGCTATCATTCTGGATAGAGGGCAATCCACGATAGTGAGGTAGGTGTAAAAATATAAAATTATCCTATTTTATTTGGATAGTTCAGGACAATGGACACATTTAGTTTTACATTATTTGAGCCTCTGGGTTAGAAGGAGATCTCTTCCCTCTCTTTCTCTTTCTCCTTCTCCTCCACCACCCACCTTCTCTCTCCTTTCCTTCCTTTCTCTATCCCTCTTTTTTCTTTCTCTCTATCTCTCTGTCTTTCAAGCTGAGTATACCCATTATATGTAAAGAGCAGTTAGAGGGACCTTGGTCTCCAAGATAAACTAATTGTAATAAATGTTTTCATAGAAGTGTCTCGTGCAAAACAAGTTTGCTGAAAATGGGAGAATTTTGTCTGCTTGTTTGTAAGAGGTGGTTCTTGAGCAATGTTATAGAGGAAAAGACCCTATCTCTCATGGAAGACTGTTATATTATCAGTACCAACCTACAACCAGAAACAAAACATAAAGCGGTCAAGCTTTATGAATGTTCCAGTTGGTCTTTATGTTCACCTGTACTTTGTAATTTTTTTCTGAATTTTAGGCAATTCTCCAGGTGTATAGAGGTTACGGTTTTAATTTGCATTTCTCTAGTCACTACTGACATTGAATACATAATTCACAATCTTGAACAACTTTCACGTAATTTTCTTAGTTGCTACCCGTATGTTTTCTCTGGTGAATGTTTATTCATTCTTTAACCCAAGTTTCATTTGCTATCTTCTTATTATTCAATTGTAAGGGTTCTTGATGTAATCTAGATACACATGCTTTATCAGATATGTGTTTTGTAAATATATTCCTTTGTTACAGAATGAAACCTGGTTCAAGTTGCCTGGCACAGGAAAGCCAAAGATCCACACCAAGATTTTGCAGCTAGAGAAAAGAGGGCATTTATTCGCAGGGCACCAAGCAAGGAGAATTGGGTAACTCACACTTAAGACCTGATCACCCTCATGGCTTCCAAGCAAGAGTGTTTTTAAGTTAAGGGTAAATTTCAGGAAAGAAGAAGTTACAGGCAAAATTGTAAATACACACAGGAGGCTGTATATTGGTTTAACCTAAAAGGGAGGGATATCTTTTAGGTAGGGCTTATAGAACATGGGCAAATTTAAAGATCCTCTGATTTGCAATTGGTTAAGGAAGAAAAGCTTTGTCTAAAATCTTGGGGTCAGCAGAAAGGAACGTTAAGGTCTGGCATGTGGGTGTGACTTTCTCCAGGCCCCTCTAAAAGATCTCCAAAAGAGATTTAGAACAAAGACTGTTGGTAAGAGTTCAGTCCTCAGTTCCCCTTTATCTGAGGTCTATGTGCTAGCAGATGGCATTTTCCATTTGGTGAGGGTCCAGTATTCTGAAAAAACAGCTCAAGGACATATGTTAAGATGTTATCTCTAGTTTTTATAGGGGGCCAGACATCCTGGGACTCTAACATTTTTGGCTATGGTTTTAAGCTGTTATTACCTTCTTGCTTATCAGATTGTTTATTTACTTCTTAGAGCTAGCTAGGTGCCTTGAATTTCCCTTGACGGAACTCAAGATTTTCTTTTCTCTCCACGATTTTTGGGGATGCTGGCAGGCCCCTAAGAGGAGTTTCAACTTTGTCTGCCTTTTAGTCTGTGGTCTGTCCTTTCATTTTCTTAGCAGTTTTCAAAGAACCAAAGGTGTTTTGAGTGATTTCAATTTATATATGTTTTTATAGTTGATGCTTTTCTTCTTCTAAGAAGTATTTGCCTAACCTAAAGTTACAGGATTCTCTCTTCGGTTCTTGTCTAGAAGTTTTAGAAGTTTTATAATTTCAGCCTTTAAAATTAGGCTTGTGAAATTATTCTATCACTTTAGAAAATAATTTGGCAGTTTCTGATAAGTCAAGCATATCTTTAGCATGTGATCTCTCAATCTCACTTCTAGGAATTAACTCAAAAGAAGTAAAAACATTTATCTGTATGAAGTCCTAGGCATATATTTTTACAGTGGCTTTATTCATAATTGCCACAAATTGTAAATAGCCCAAACATCCATTAACTAATGAATAGATAAACAAATTGTGGTATATTCATATAGTATAATTAAAGTAAAAACTGATGCATGTAATAACATGGGGTCAGGTCAAAAGCATTATAAGGGAAAATGTCAAACACAGGACCATTACATAGTACACTATTCCATTTATTGACATTTCAGAAAAATCACAGAGACAGAAACCAGATGATCATTTATCAGGTGCTAAGGGTGAGGGAAGGGGATTGATTACAAAGTGGCTAAAATAAACTTTTTGGAGAAATGGAAATGATCTATATCTCAGTTGTGTTAGTGATTGATATGGTTTGGATCCATGTCCCTGCTCAAATCTCATGCTGAATTTTAGTCCTGGCGGGGGGGTAATTGGATCATGGGAATAGTTTCTCATGAATGGTTTAGCACCATCCCCTAGGTGCTGTTCTCATGATAGTGAGCGAGTTCTCACAAAATCTGGTTGCTTAAAGGTCTGTGGCACCTCCCTCCTTGCTCTCTCTTCCTCTTGCTCTGGCCATGTAAGATGTAAGATGTACCTGCGCCCCTTTGCTTTCTACCATAATTGCAAGTTTCCTGAGGCTTCCTCAGAAGCCAAGCAGATCCTGGCACCATACTTCCTGTACAGTCTTCAAAATTGTGAGCCAATTAAACCTCTTTTCCTCATAAAGTACCCAGTCTCCGGTATTTCTTTATAGCAGTGTGAGAAAAGACTAATGCAATGGTTATGTGACATTTTATGTTCTTCAAAACACATTGACCTGTATATCTAAAAATGGTGAACCTTGCTATATGTAAATTTTACCTGAAAAAAAATCTGAGTAAATAAAATTTCTTTCAAAGGGTTCAAGCTTTTACAAAAGTATTTTCAAAGAAAAATTTTGGAATCTGTTTGGAAATCTCTCACTCACATTTTTTTCTATGAATGAGCTAATATTTTCTAGGATGTGAGGTAGTCCAACAACAAATTCCTAGCTCTCATATAGGTGCCCATAGATATTGCATAAATTTTCTCCATTTTTATTATAAACAGCACCTATGTCAGTGTTTCCGGCTAGAAAAATTAGACACATATTAGCTTTTTGCTCTTATCCTTAATAAGTTATCTGTTCAATTATTGCTGCCTTTACTGCCTTTGAATCAAATTTATCTTCTTTTCTCTCCTTTCCTCTCACTATGTTAGTCTAGGCTTTTGTGCAATTTGAATTGAATCTGTAAATTTGATCTTAAATTGCTTTTCCTACCCATTGGCTCTAATTCTTTCAGTTCATTTTGAATATGATGACCCAAAACGTCTCAATATGCAGACTTCATCAAATTGCCTAACATATCATGATTACACCTTCCATTTGCCTTTAAATGCTTTGGATAATATGGCTTCAAAGAAAATGTTCTCTAAAGAATAGGTGCTAAAGCATTTTGTTTGGTTTAGCAATTATAATGTATACTGGGAAATAAAGTAAGAATTTATTTTTTCCAAAATTATCCTCCCAAATTAAAGATACGCTTGTGTCCTTACAAAGCCTTCCAAATTTGGGGGTACTTCATCTACTACTTTATTTTGGCTAATAATATATAATTGATGAAAGGCCTTTAGTCTTTAACGATGTCAATAAAAGCTAGTTTAGATGCTCATAGAGGTCTCTTGTTGGAGTAAAATACAGATGCTAAGAAATTTAATAGGGATTCAGTGAGGGATGTGGTCTCACTATTACTGCAAGACTGTACATTGTAAAGAAGTCTTTACAAATGTTTAATTGATTTCATAAGCTAAATTAGCTAAGAATATATTTCACTATGGTTTAAGTTGGCCAACTTTCTCCTCCCTGCCTTTTGGATGTTCTCTCTGTCTCTCTCTCTCTCTCTCTCTCTCTCTATTTATCTATCTTAGAATCCAAATCAGTTGAGAATAACATTGATATATCTACTGCTTATCTGGATTATTTTGACTATCACTGAAAGTTTAATCAATCCATATACTCTATATTTATCTTCTTCAACTTCTAAAAGAAATCAACAACAGATTTTCTATAGAATTTGGTGATGATTGACAAAATTTTGGTGACTTAGTTCACAAAATGCCATAGGTTATAACAAAATGCCATAGGTTGAGCAGTTTATAAAGAGCAGAAATTAATTTCTCACAATTCTGGAGGCTGGAAGTCTGAGACCAGGGTGCCTGCACAGGTGAGAGCCTTTTTGCAGGTGGCAGATAGTCAACTTCTCATATACTCGCATGGTGGAAAGAGAGAGAGCTCTCTGGATTCTCTTTTATAAGGGCACTAATCAAATTCATAGAGGCTGCACCCTCATGACCTAATTACATCCAAAGGCCTCATCTCCTAATAACATCACACAGGGGATTAGGATTTCAATGCATGAATTTTTAGGGGACACAAATATCCAGTTTATCACAGCTGGATTTATCGAGCTCTTGATACCGAAAAGTTTTGGAAAATATCTATGCTTGTACCACCTCCTCTCATTAGTCTATGGGAGTACCTTCATAGAAAAATTGAAGCTTTATAGAAAATTGAATTCTTAGAAAACCTTTAGGACTTTGCATTTTTTCAACCATATCCAAACATCTGTTAGAATTTGCCCTTTTCTTATAGCCATTTTTACAACATAATCAATAAAATATGTAATGTACACTGGATAGAGAAGTCAGTTGATATTTAGGAGTCTTTGTCTTTAGCCCTGGGTCTCTGGTCACTTTCCCCTGGGCTTTGATTAGTCACCCTTCAAATGGAGAAGGCAGGTGATACAGTTTGGCTGTGTCCCCACCCAAATCTCACCTTGAATTGTAATAATCCCCATGTGTAAAGGGTGGAGCCTGGTGTAGATCACTGAATCATGAGGGTGGTTTCCCCCATATTGTTCTCATGGTAGTGAATAAGTCTCATGAGATCTGTTGGTTTTATAAATGGGAGGTTCCCTGCACAAGCTCTCTTGCCTGCTGCCATGTAAGACATGACTTTGCTCCTCATTCATCTTCTGCCATGATTGTGAGGCCTCCCTAGCCATGTGGAACTGTGAGTCAATTAAATCTCTTTTCTTTATAAATTACCCAGTCTTCGGTGTGTCTTTATCGGCAGCGTGAGGACAGACTAATACAGTAGGACTGGAAGTTGTGCAGAATCCTTTCAGGCTTTAACACTGATCATATGTTGTTCATAACCATGACAGATACTTACATAGATGTGATATACTCAATATACTCAATATTTGCTATACTCTCCTTTCTTTTAGTTGCAAAATTAATATTTTATTATATGCAGATGGCCTAAAAGATGGGGGCATATTGGATGTTTATTGTGGTTTAGAGTAGAAAAGACAATACCAAAAGTTTATTTTTTCCTCTCTACTGTAGGAGGGCTTGTGAGGGGTTGAGCCCTATTCACATTGTTAGCAAATGTTAATGCAAACAGAGGTGAGTCAGCATATCAGTGACTCATAATAACTGTCATAATTGGGCTCATATTTATACATTTTTCTTGTGAGGAGAAAAACAAGCAGAGATAGGAATAATTTTATGATTTTGTGATGATAAATACCTCAATAGGTAGTCATACAGTCAGGAGTAGATGCTACCAATTAACTTTGTGACCAGAAAAGATCCCCCCGTGGGCTTGGGGATCCTGTGTTTACAGTAAAAGTCTCAGCGACCCAAGCCCACGGAGGATCTGAGTGGCAGAGTGTGTGGACAGATGACCTATTTTCTGCTCTAGGTTTGTGGAAGTTATTACTTTTCCTTTCATGCTTAAATATCTTATATTCATTCCCTCTCATAACTAATATTCTCTATTTCGACTTGGATTTTCCCTCATAGAAACATGATGGTTTTACTGCTGCAGTGAAATTATTTAGGTCTGTAAGTCAAAACTTTTCAAACTATAGAAGGATGATCCAGTTATCTTTCTGAGCAGTAACCATAATTCTCAGACATAAAATCAATATATTCAAATGAAACTGATAAATATAAAACATAAGTGGACTGCAGAAAACCCAGAAAAACCAGACTACACCATTTTCAAATTCATCTAAGATTTACTGTGGAGCCTCCATGTATCAGGCATTTCCCTAGAATTTCAGAAAACCTAAACATAGTGACGACCTAGGAGAAACTTCTTCCCAGGTAAAGAATATTCCGAAGAGAGTATCTCAATTATTTACTGAGAAGTATAATTATTACAAGATTTTCTTCCCACCCAACATAGAGCTCATTTTGACATGCGGAAGGTTAGAAGATATCTTGTAGGGGAGGGACCTTTGTGACTTTATGTGCTTTCCCAACTTATCTGTAAAAATATCTCCTCCCGCATAACCTAACTTTTTAGCCTAACTGGGTAGCCAACTATCGTTTTATTAATTTTAGCAAAAATATCTATGGTTGTGTGTGTGCATGCATGTGTGCTTGTGTGTTTGTGTTGCTCTGCTTAATAAATTGAGATGAAATTTGTGCTTCCTCTGGCGTTAGTTGAGAAAGGGAATAAGTGAAAGAAGCTGAAGTTGTAAAGAGATAGAGGAGATAAGGCAGGGTTCTAGAAGTAAAAAACTCCCTGTAGTGTGAATGGGTTTAGACAAAGGGATATGAAATGCTCAATTTTATGTTTGAAGTTCTGTTAGGCTTCTGTGTAACACCGTACTGTTACTTTTTGAATCTCTAATAAAAGCCTATTATTTAAAACTGCTTGGTGAGAGTGGTGTTTGCCAGAAATCAAGATTAAAAGAGACTGTGTACGAGTTGGAGTCAACATAGGTTTGAAGGAAGTTACCGTTGCTAGAGGAAAGATAAAAGTGAGTTGGGAAAATCAGGAGAGGCAGGGAAGGCTCAGAGCTAGAAGTACAGGTACTTAGGAGAAATATGAGCCCTGATCAACTCCTGTAATTGGGCCTGAGTCGTTTTGCTTTCTTCTTCTTTCTTTTGTGGAAGTTATGACTTGCCCTTTCATGCTTAGAGGCCTTGGAGACATGGACATGGAAGTAACCACCTGGACTGAGATAGAGAAAAATTCTGAAAGTAATATTTATAAATTTAGAATTCCTCCGAAAATCTCTAAAGAAACATTATGATGTCATATCAGCAAGATGGCAGAGTAAAAGATCCCAGTCTTTGTCCTCTATAAGAAAGAATTAGACAGCTCCCTATGAATTAAAATAGCCCTGAGAGCACTCAGGAGCCAAATTAGGATACTGCGGCAACACAGTAAAATAAAATAATGGAGACTAACTCCACAGAAAGGATAGGGAGTATAGTTTCATTCTGCCTGCATCATTCCATCCTCCATGCAACATGGCTTATGCCAAAAAGATTCTCCTTGGCCCAGAAGTTTTCCTCATGGAGAAAAAGTACAGCAAGTGACCTACCAGCTACCCTATCTTTTCAGGTCACTTCTCTAATGACCTGCTTCAGCTTCACTGCACCCAGATTGCTGGGAAGATCAGCATGCTCAGTATATCTGGGATGTCTGGAGACAGCTGGAACAAAGAAGAGCTGCAGGAGCTGTGAGTGTCAGTCACAACGTGGGTACCACTCTGGTCCTCAGTGGCCTGCTCTTCAAAGCACCCCAGCAGCCTTCACTGCCGAGGACCTCAGTAACCCTCATGGTCACCAGAGAATCCTCACTGCTTCCACCAATGAGAATCCTATCATGTCTGCTTCAAACACCAGAGCCACCACTATGGTAAGTACACCTGTGCCCTGGGCCCTGAAGTCATAATTATTCCATATGTGTCCATGCTCTGTACCTTGGTTTTGCAGCCACCCTGTGAGTGTCTATGCATCACAAACTGGCAAGACCACAGCCATGAGCATTCCTGTGTGCCAGATCTGGCACTAAAATATATCCCCTTAACCATAACTCCCTCTAATGGGAGAAACAGCGAATAGGTGAACCCCAGCAGCCTTCTCCACTGAGAGCCTCAACAACATTCACTGCTGTCACAGACATACACAGCTTTGGTTACTGAGGAATTCAATGGTCTTCTGACCTCAGCTGATGGAGAGAAGTAGACTATATCACTGTGCCCAGAGCCAGAAGCACCTCACTCTACTCAGCTAACACACCCATGCCCACTGTAGGTAAAGATCTTTCCTCACCAATACCAATCCATAAATCCTGAAAGAGGTAAATGCTCTCCTAAATGTGCAGATATCAATGCAAGGAAAACAAACAAACAAATCAGGGAAACTTGAAACCACCGAAGGAAAACAACAATTTTCTGGTAGCTAACTGCAATTAAATGGATATATACAAATTATGTAAGCAAAGGTTCAAAATAATCATTTTTAAAAAGCTCAGTGAGCTATAAAACAAAGACAGACAGGCAGACAGTCAACACAACCATATCAGGAAAACAATGCATGAACAAACCTAAAAGTTCAACAGAGATAGAAATCATAAAAAAGAACCAAACAGAAATTCTACAGTTGAATAATTCAATGAATGAAGTTAAAAAATGAAACGTAGAGGTCGAACATCAGACTCAATCAAGCAGAAGAATGAAACTACAAACTCAAAGATGGTTCATTGGAAATTATCCAGTGAGAGGAGGAAAAGTATAGAAACAAAAAGAGTGAAGACAGTGCTATGTGATAAAAAAATATATATATATAATTAATAGCCAAACTAGAGGACAAAGAGAATTTTGAAATTAGCAAGAGAATAGAAAAGACCTAGCAAAACCGTATTTTAAAAATTAAGGAGAGATTAAGTTTTCCTCATCCAAACAATCACTGAAGGAGATTTTTAGCACTATACCTGCCTTACAAAAAATACTTAAGGGGATTCTTCAAATTGAAACAAAAATACGCTGAACAGCATAGAAAAGAAAAGAATATTAAAGCATAAATTTCACTGATGAGGGTAAATATGCAGAAATATGTAGATTAATGTAACATTGTAATGGTAGTGTATAATTTAGTTTTAACTCTATTATAAAAGTTAAACGATAAAAATTTGTTTATAGATACACAATATAAAAAGAAACTCTGACTACAGGAACGTAAACTATGTGTATATGTGGGAGTAAAAGTGCAGTGTTTTACATAATTAAAACAGAGAATTACAGCCACGAACTATTTTATGCAAGCTTTGAGCTGATCACAGGAGAAATGTCTCTAATACACAAAGAAGAAAAAGGATGAAAGCAAATTACTAAAAAAATTATCAAATAATAAAGAAATATGGAAACAGAGGAAAAGAATGAGAAAACAACCACAAAATAGACAGAAAACAACAAAATGACAGTACTAAGTACTCACCTATTAATAATGACCATAAATGTAAATGTATTAATTTCATGAATCAAACAGAACAGCTTGGATGAATGAATTAAACAAAATACAATATCCAGTGATACGCCATTTACAAGAAACTCACTTTAGATTTAAAGACTTGAAGTGGCTGAAAGTAAGAGGATAAGAAAGCTATTTCACATAAATGGTAAACAAAAGAAACCAAAAGTGGCTACACTTACATCATAAACAATATATGTAAAGTACAAAATGATCTCTAAAGACTAATGTCATTATGAAATGATAAAAGGGTCAATTCAATAGGAAGATATAACAGTTAAATAAACACTCAACATCAGAGCACTTGTATATAAAGCAAGTACTGCCAAATCTGAAGATAGAAATCGACAGCAAAAAAAATAAAATCTCAATATCACACACAAAATATTGAATAGAACATCCAGACAGAAAATCAGTAAGGAAACAGCTGCCTTGAACAACAATATGCCAAACTGACGTAACAGACATGTACAGAACTTTCTACCCAATAGGAGATGGGCACTCATTCTTCTCAAATGCACATAGAGCGCTCTCTGGGATATAGCGTAGGTTAGATCTTAAAACAAGCCTTAACAAATTTAAGAAGATCAAAATCATGCCAAATATCTTTTCTGAACACAATGAAATGAAACTAGAAACCAAAAACAGCAAGAAAACAGAAAAATTTACAAATACTAGGAAACTAAACAACACACTATTGAATAGCCATTGGATCAAAGAGGAAATCAAAAGGGAATTTAAAAATATCTTGAGATAAACAAAAATAACACAACATACCAATAGCTATGGGATGCAACAAAAACAGTACTAACAGGAAAATTTATTGCAGTAAACTACTACATTAAAAAAGGAGAAATATCTCAGGTAAAATAATCTAACTTTATACTTCAAAGAATTTGAAAAAGAAGCAAAAACTAAGCCCAAAGTTAGGAGAAGGAAGAAAATAATAAAAATTAAAGCAGAAATAAATCAAGCAGAGAATGAGAAAACTACAGAAAAAATCAGCAAAATCTTTTTTTATTTAAATTTTCAATTTTTATATTTCGTAGGTACATTCTAGTTGTATATATTTGTGGGGTATATGAGATGTTTTGATACAGACATCCAATGTGTAAGAATCACATCATGGAAGATGGGGTATCCATCCCCTCAAACATTTTTCCTTTGTATTACAAACAATCCAATTATATTCTTTTAGTTAATTTACAATGTACACTTTAATTATTATTGACCCTAGTCACCCTGTTGTGCTGTCAAAGACAAGGCCTCATTCATTTCTTCTAACATTTGTTTTGTACCCATTAATCATCCCCACCTCTTTGTCACCCCTCAACCACTACCATTCCCAGCCTGTGGTAACCATCCTTGTACTCTATATCCGTGGGTTCAATATCCATGGGTTCACTTACTTGTGAGATCTCACACAAGTAAGTGAGATCATGCAATGTTTATCTTTCTGTACCCAGCTTATTTCACTTAACATAATGACCTCCGGTTCCATCCATGTTGTTGCAAATGAGTGAATCTCATTCTTTTTTATGGTACTCCATTGTGTATATATATGACATTCTCTTTATCCATTCATCTGTTGATGAACACTTAGGTTGCATTCAAATCTTGGCTATTGTGAACATAACTGCAACAAACATGGGGTGCAGCTATTTCTTTCATATATTTATTCCCTAGATTTTGGGTATATACCCAGTAGTGGGATCGATGGATCATATGGTAGTTCTATTTTTAGTTTTTTGAAGAATATGCAAGCTGTTCTCCACAGTGGTTGTAATAATTTACATTCCCACCAACAGTATATGAGGTTTCCCTTTTCTCCATATTCTTGCCATCATTTGTTATCGCCTGTCTTTTGGATATAAGCTCTTTTAATTGAGCGTGAGATAATATCTTATTGAAGTTTTGATTTGCATTTCTCTAATGATTAATGATGTTAATCACCTTTATGTCTCTTTGCCATTTATATATCTTCTTTTGAGAAATGTCTACTCAAATCTTGCCCATTTTTAAAACAGGTTATTAAATTTTTTTCTATAGAGTTGTTTGAGATTCTTATATATTCTGGTTATTAGAACATTGTCAAATGAGTAGTTTGCAAATATATATTCTCCCATTCTGTGGGTTGTCTCTTTACTTTGCTGTTTTTATTTTTTTATTATTTTTTCTGTGCAGAATCTTTTTAACTTGGTGTGATACCATTTGTTTATTTTTGCTTTGGTTGCCTGTGCTTGTGGGGTATTGCTCAAGAAATTTTTGCCCACTCCAATGTTCTAGAGAGTGTCTCCAATGTTTTCTTGAGTAGTTTTATAGTTTGAGGTCTTAAAGTATTTAATAGATTTTGATTTAATTTTTGTATGTAGTGAGATACAGGGGTCTAGTTTCATTCTTCTGCAAATGGATATTCAGTTTTCCCAGCACCATTTATGGAAGAGACTCTTTTCCCCAGTGTGTATTCTTGGTAACTTGGTTGAAGATGAGTTCACTGTAGGTGTTTGGATTTGCTTTTGTGTTCCCTATCCTGTTCCATTGGTTCATGTGTCTGTGTTTATATGGTTACCATGCTGTTTTGGTTACTATAGCTCAGTAGTATGATTTGAAATCAGGTAATGGGATTGCTCTAGTTTTGTTCCTTTTGCTTAGGATAGCTTTGACTATTCTGGGTCTTTTGTGGTTCTATATAAAATTTAGGATTTTTTTTTCTATTTCTGTGAAGAATGCCATTGGAATTTTGATAGAGATTGCACTGAACCCTTAGACAACATTGATTCTTCCAATCCATGAATATGAATATCTGCCCATTTTTTGGTGTCTTCTTCAATTTCTTTCATCAGTGTTTTATAGTTTTTGTGATAGAGATCTTTTAATTTTTTAGCTAAGTCAGTTCCTAGGTATTGAATATTATTTGTGACTATTGTAAATGGGACTACATTTTAAATTTCTTTTTCAGTTTGGCCACTGTTGGTATATAGAAATGATACTGATTTTATTATATTGATTTGGTATCCTGCAACTTTACTTAATTTGTTTATTAGCTTTAATAATTTTTTGTATAGTCTTTAGGTTTTTCCAAATATGAGATCATATCATCTGCAAATGAGAAAAATTTGACTTTCTTTCCAATCTGAATGTGAGTTATATCTTTCTCTTGTTTGATTGCTCTAGTTAGGACTTCCAGTACTATGCTGAATAACAGTGGTGACAGTGGAAGACCTTGGCAAGTTTCAGATCTTAGAGGAAAGGCTTTCAGTTTTTCTCCATTTGGTATGATGCTAGCTATGGGTCTGCCATATATGGCTTTTATTATGTTGAGTATGTTCTATATATATGCAGTTTTTTAGAGTTTTTATCATAAACAAATGTTAAATTTTAGCAAATACTTTTGCAGCTTCAATTAAAATAATCATATGGTCTTTGTTCCTCATTCTGTTGATTTGATGTATCACATTGATTGATTTGCATTTGTTGAACCATCCTTGTATTCCAAGAATAAATTCCACTTTGTCATGATGAATGATTTTTTTAATGTATTGTTTAATTCAGTTTGCTGATATTTTGTTGAGAATTTTTTAAGCAGTTTTTTTTTGAAAAGAAAAAACAATGGAAAAACCTTTAGCTAGACCACCTAAAATAAGAGAGAATGGACTCAAATAATAGAATCAAAAATGAAAGAGGGAACATTACAATACATGCCTCATAATTAAAATGGGTCTTAAGGGACTACTATGAACAATTATATGCCAACAAACTGGATAACAAAGAAGTCATAGATAAACTCCTGGAAACACACAACCTGCCACAACTGAATCAACAGGAAGCAGCCCTAACAGACTGATAACAAATAAAGAGATTTAATCAGCAATTGGAAAATCCCCCAAAAAAGAAACACCTAGGACCGGATGACTTCACAGATTGATTCTACCAAATATTCAAAAAAGCATTCATATAAATCCTCTTTAAACTGCTCCATTAATTTAAAAAGGGAACACTTTAAAACTCATTCTATAAGGCCAATGTCATAATGTGTTAGGTTGGTGTAAAAGTAATTGTGGTTTTTGCCATTAATTTTAAACCATCCTAATATAAAAACCAGACAAAAACACTATAAGGAAAAAAAAATCCTACAGGTCAACATGCATGATAAACATAGATGCAAATATTCTTAATAAAATACTAGCAAACTAAGTTCAATAGTACATTAAAATAATCTCACAGCATGGCCAAGCATAATTTATCCATGTGATGCAAGAATGATCAGCATATGCAAATCAATAGATGTGCTATTCTACATTAACAAAATGAAAAAAGAAATCATCTCAATAGATACAGAGAGGGCATTTGACAAAACTCAACATCTATTCATGATTAAAACTCTTAACAAAATAGGTATAGAAGAAACTTATCTCAACACAATAAAGGCCATATACTCTAAGCCCACAGTTAACATCATACTCAACAGTGAAAAGTTGAAAACTTTTCTCCTAAGATCAAGAGCAAGATAAGGAGCCCCACTCTAATCACTTTTATTCTATATATTTCTGTAAGTCCTAGCCAGAACAAGTAGAAAAGAAAAAAAAAAAAAGGTATTCCAATAAAAAAGGAAGAAGTAAAATTATATCCATTTGCAGACAACATGACCACAGAAAACCCTGAAGAGTAGATTTCAATTGATCTTAAAAAAAAATAATAAAAAAGGTATCTTTGTGAAGTAAAAAAGAAGAGAAAGCCCTACAACACAACAAAAACCCCTGTAATAATTAATAAACCAGTTTAATAAAGTTGCAGGATACAAAATGAACATACAAAAATTGTGTTTCTATACAGAAATAATACACTATCCAAAAGGAAATTTAGAAAGCAATCTCATAATAATCACAAAAAGGATAAAACACTTGGAAATGAACTTAACTAAAGAGGTAAAAAGTTTGTATACTAAAAATTATAAATAATTGATAAAGGAAATTGAAGAAAATACTGAAAAATGGAAAAATTATTCCCAGTTCAGGGGTTGGAGTCTTAATATTGTTAAAATGTTTATTCATACTACCCAAAGTGATGTATAAATTCAACACAATCCCTACCAAAATCCCTATTATATTTTTATAGAAAGACAAAACCAATGCCAACATTCATGTGGAACCACAAAGGACCCCAAATAGCCAAAACAATCTTGAGCAAGAACAAAGCAAGAGACATCATGCTTCCTGATTTAAAAATGTCTTACAAAGTTATAGTAATCAAAACAATATGGTACTGGCAGGAAAGAACAGATATATAGATCAATGAGACAGAACCTAGAGATAAAAGATAAATCTATCAGTCTATGATTCTTTGATCTCAAGGGTGCCAAGAATGGCTACAGGTGCCCGCCACCATGCCAGGCTAATTTTTTGTATTTTTAGTAGAGCTGGGGTTTCACTGTGTTAGCCAGGATGGTCTGGTCTTAATTTCCTGACCTGGTGATCCATCCTCCTTGGCCTCCCAAAGTGCTGGGATTACAGGGGTGAGCCATCACACCCTGCCCATACATTTTAAATACATACAATTTTTAATTGTAAATGACACCTCACCAAGTTGGGGGGCTGAGGGAGGGAAGAAACGTTATGACCAGAGTTTTTCTCATTTAAAAATTGCATTGTTAGAACAGTAGTGGAAGTTTATCTATCCAAAGAAAGAAACAGCATAAACTAAAAAAAAAAAAAATTCATAATAATAATAATAATAATAATGCTACTGGACTAGGCCCTCCTGAACTTCCAGCTGAAAACTTTTTTCCAAACTGTAAACTAGGGAAATTGTACAGCTCATTTTCTTTATTTCTTGTCTTTCAGGGATCACTGTCTTTCATTGTCTGATATTTATTGAAAACTTGTTTATTTTCAGCTTTTTATTGTTTCAGGTAAGTGTGTCAATCCAGTCACTGTTCCTTCAGCTGGGTTGGAAGTGGAAGTCTTCTTGAGAGTACTGTGATGTTCTGTCCCATATTTGCCTTTTGCTTTAAGCAGAGCCAGAGTCAAGACTTAGGTGCAAGCAGTGTATTTGGAACATGATTCCAGGAAGCAGGTGAAAGAGAGATAGTTGAAGGGATTGCCAATAAAAATGTTTTGTCGAGTTATTCCTCTTACTGATTATTCAAAATTACCATGTCTCCAACAACTTTTTAACTCATTTATGTCAATGTGAACTTTAAAAAAAATTAAATTAGATGTCCTTGTGGGTATTATTGTGCACAAAAAATTAGCTTAGAGCTGCTTTATTTTTTATATTAATATTCCATTTACTAAAATTTAAATGTAAAACTGTTAAACTCTGATTTATCATTTAGCTTTTAACTACATATCTGATTATTGCCTTGGTAAAGCTAATTCATTTTAATGATTACATTAAAGACAGTTTTACAAAAGGATTCAAATATATAACATATTTTACTATTTTTAAAATCATAATTTTAATACATTTGATTCTTATTTTAATGGGTATCATTTTCCTCACCCAAAATAAAAACGAAATTCCCACATTTAAAAATAGTTATTGGAAATCTAGAAAATTAGACTTATGCCTTGGCTGACTCCAATTATTTTAAAGGTCTAATTGTTTTGTAAGGCTAGTGGAATTTCAAGTTAAAATTGTGAGTAAAAAAAATTAGTTATATAGACACATTAAGTTTAAATTATAAACTAATCTGCTACTGCAATAAGGAAAAGTGTCTTAAAAGCTACATGAACTAAAAACATAAAATATGAGAATTTTTCTTTAATACAGAATTATCACTATTCAAGATTTAATTACCTTTGTCATTAGTACTTAATTTTAAAACTTTAAGAGTAAAACATGTTTAACCAGTAGTGAATCAGCAATACCATTTTAAGAGGATTTTAGAATCAGTTTTCAGGCTTAATTGTTTTTGGCTTAAATGCTCAGTTCACCTAGAAAATAGTCTGCAATAACACATATCAAGCTGTTTGACAGTAACTTCATCTGCAAAGGCAGTAGTATTGAAAGAGGAGAAATGAAAGGGGGATTTTTCACATTTACTCCATTTACTTGTAGGTTGTTTGATTTTTAAAAATAAACATGTTTTTATGTATGACAAGTAATTTCCTAAATTCCTCTTCACCATAGAAGACTTGGAATATGTACAATATGTTATCCCTTTAAAAAATGCTCAGTTGGCTTAGGTTGTGTGGCAACCAAGTATTAGGACAAGATAGGAAATCTTGGAGTAGCAGATTTTATCCATGATTTTACCTGCCAGGTGAGCCAATTTTTAAAAATAGTTGGTCCATAAATGAGGAGCTCTCTTATCCCACCTCTCCCTTATTAAACTGAAACATTCCTAAACTTCTGATTTACTGGAATCCCCAAGTAGGTTTTTACAATTGCCACATGAGTTTTACATATTTTATTCCATTCGCTTATACTATTGTGACACTAATTCATCCTTTTAGAGATTACTTTTTGAGTGTTTCCTATGTGGCCAGCATTGCTCTAGGAAGTTGAGAATATTGTTGAACAAGACAAAAATTCCTGCCTTGTAGAGCTTACACACTAACAAAAGGAAAGAAACACTGAATGACAAGGATGCCAGGTAAATAAAAGGTTTAGTAGGTACACATAAGTAAATTATTTGATATGTTAGAAGGGGATAAGTGTTAAAAAATAAAGAAAAATATTGAACAGAGTGTGGGATTGTGAGTGCTGTGGAGAAAGTGTTATCAGGATGCAAAAATTGTATAAGATGGTCAGGAAGGATCTCCTTAGAAGGTGTTATTTGAGAAAGAGATTGAAGTAATTAAAGAAGCTAGTCCAAGTGGTTATTAGGGGAAGGGTGGTCCAGGCAATGGGTACTGATAGAGCCAATGAGCTAGGGCTAAAGCATGCCTATTGCCTTTGATGAAAGCAATGATTGGTGTGGCCAGAAAGCTGTCAGCGGAAAGACGAATACAGAGGGCATTGTAGATGATTGTCAGGTCTATGATATTATGATTCAGGATATGAAGACCCATGGCTGGGTTGAGGAATAACACAATCTAGCTTAAGAATCCCTGTGGCTGCTGTATTGGGAATAGAATGTGGAATGGTTGGCAAGGAGAAATTAGAAAGATTTATTAGAAATCCATGGCAGTAATCCAAGAAAGAAAGAGTGGTTGCAAAGTCCAGGTTGAAAGCAGTAGATGTGGTGAGGATTATGGACATGTTTTTAAGATTAACCTACCAAATCTCCTGGCAGATTGAATGTGGGATGTGAGAGAAAGGAGAGTGTCAATATGGCACCAAGTGAATTATGAGAAAATGGAAAGATGGGATTGTTATCAGGTAGGATGATGAATGAGCATCTAGAGTACAATCTAGTACATGTTGAGAATGAGCTTCCTACAGGACATCCAAGGAATGATTCAAATCAATAGCTGTAGTGATGTTCAGAGCCCAATATGAAAACTTAGAATGTAGAAGAACAAAAATGATGGGAGGGATAGGGATCTTGGAGCAACTAACACAAAGAGAAATTGTGTCCAGTTATTGAGATGACTTCGGGTGACTCAATATAGTTAACAGTGACGAGGCTAAGATAGGTAGAGATGAGGCAGGCTGGAATCTTGGAGCCCCTCTTGATCTGTGATGACAACAGTTGAAGGCTATACACTCAGTATAACTCTTCACCAGGATGGGGGAGACCCAGTCTAACTTGAGTGTGAACTTTGTCTCTTGTGTGACCTGAACACTTCCACGGAAGGTGCAGTGATCCCACCTGTGACTCCCGTCGCTCCTGATGAGAGTGACCTGAGGCCCGGTGCAGTGGCAATTTGGTGCCTCTTCTTGACCCTAAATGATGGTCTCAGTACTGGGACTTTTACATTTAATTCACTTCCTCCAGTCCATTTTCTATATCAGTGGTCTCCAAATTAGGGAGGGTAATGTCTAATTAATAAAATATATTAACTCTTCTATTTGTGTTAGTTTTATATAAAGCATTGTGTAGATTCAGGAAGTTCACAAAGATCACTCACATGTTTTTTCCTCCTCTGATTTGCAACTACTTCTACCTTTTTTAGTTTACCATCTTACTATTTGTCAGTCTTTTAGAGACAGAGTCTCATTCTGTCACCCAGGCTAGAATACAAATCAAAGCACACTTCAAAGCACGCAATCAAAGCAGACTTCATCCTCAAGCTCCTGGGCTTAAGCTGTTATCCTGCCTCATCCTGTCAAGTAGCTAGAACTACAAATGCACACCACCACATTTGGTTATTTTGTTGTTGTTGTTGTTAAGGGATGGGGTCTCACTGTGTTGCCTAGGCTGGCTGGCCTTATACTCTTGACCTCAAAGGATCTTCCCACTTTGTCCTCCCAAAGTGCTGGGATTACTGGCATGAGCCATTACACTAAGCTCCTATTTATCAATCTTTTGTCAGAATGGAGAAAGGAGCTCTTGAATAGCTTCCATACTAATTTTTTTTTAAAGCTTCTAGTTTTAGTTTTGTGTTTTTTCCTCACTTCTATGAATTCCGACTGCCTCAGATTTCTTAGTCTTTTGGAACTTTGCAGCATAAATTAGGATGTTATAAAATGACTTTTCACACTTAGCTTTAGCTTAGCTTTAATTTCTTAAGTCATATATCCCTAGTCCTTGTACTTTTCAGCTTCCAACATTTTATTGCTGTGGTCTCCTCTCTATTTTTCTTTGTGGTTTAATGATATTCACATTACATTTTTACTGTTATTTATTGGGGTTTGGGGAGACAGCCAAAGTAGATGTGTATGTTAAATATGGTAACTTTACCTGGAAGTATTTTATGTGTATTAAAGTTATTAATATTCATGGCATATAATGATATAACTTATACTTGAAAGCACATATATTTTACTGATAGGTTGCACAAGACAAATTTTGGAGATCAATGTTCACATTGGCCAGAATGTTCCTTCTAATTTAATAAATTATATTGATTGTAAATTGTGCCAGAGATTCTGCAGAGCTTGTAGATTTCCTATCAAACAAAACGTGTTCGTGTGAAACATCAATTCCTCTATATTTGAGAGCAGACACAAATCTTTTTAAATAAAGAAGCTATTTAAATCTGGTGGGTGAGCATCAAGAACAGTGAGACATCTGTCCATTTAAATTATTGGAAAATTGAGTACTTCAAGACATCAAACACACAGATGCTCTTATGCAGTAAAATATGTACAATCTAATGATGTGGCTTTAGTGATGAGAAAGGGTCAGGTGAAGTACAGATCCTGCATCGATTCCCAGTTGTAGAAATGTTGTAATACCCTAATTTCACAGCTGCAATCTACCTTCAGCATAATAATGTCTGTGACAATAAAGTGCCACTGGTACAGTGTCATAGAAACTGCTCACCTGGAAAGAATTCACGAAAACATTTAGGTCTGGGTATAGGAATCAGATCAATTTTTATTTTTGAGAGCTCTTTGGTAAAACTTAAATCTGATAGTTGAGACCACTATTTGCTTTAACTTTACATATGACTTTAAAGTGTGTGTGTGTGTGTTTGTTTTTTTTTACATACTATTGGATAACAGACTTTAGCTTTGATTATTGAGAAAGTTGGATTTTTTTTCTCCCTTTCAGGGATTAGAGGGTGTATATTATTTGGGGCTAAATTGTTATGCTATGCCAAAATGATTTTTTCTTTTTAAAATATTTGTTTAAATTTTGTAATAAAAAGAGAAATCAAATAAATCTTGATCTTGGTCATTTCCTGTGCCCCTTCATCCTGTGTTATATTAAGATGTAATGATATCTGAAGCATCCTCTTTCTGAAACCACCATTCATTATGTAATTACAGGTCTGCCAAGTACCAGCCTTAAGCCAGCATAAGGTATAAAATGAATGAGCCAAGACTCCGCCTGTGACATGTTACTGTACACCTCAAGAAGAACCCTGGCAGTATGTTAAAAAGTAAAATATTTTAATGCAATTTAGTTTAGACTGTGTTTCTTTCATTCTGCCTTCCTTTCTATCACAAGTCCCTTCACGTAGGGTGGATCAGGTCCATTTGGGATTCAGGTAAGGGAAGGTAGAGACAGTGATACCATTGGTTTGTGTTCGGGGGATATGACTGGGTGTGTCACAGTCATGTTCATGTATAGTTCAGTTGTCATCTATTTCAGCATTTCCTTTAGCACACAGCACTGGGTATATATGAGTTGTAAAGAAACACATTTTGAAATGTACAGAAGCGGAAGCACGTCATTGGAAAATGTGTCTCGTCATTGGATGTGTAAAACTGAAGTGCAAGATTTAGCTCTCACTGAGCTTGTTGAAACAGAGAACCTTTCCTTTAAAACCGGACTAAACAAAGCAGTAAATAAAATTATAAGCACACCACATTTTACTTTGTATGGAAATCATGTAAAACACATTTTATTGGAGTTCTCAGGTTTTTAGGACGCAAATGTGTGGCAGCTCTACAAATAGCAAGACCGTCTATATGTGCAGTCATAAGCTTTATGTATCTCAACATAGCAGATCCTAGTGGATCTGATGCAGTTTAGTCTGCTGAATTCTAATGGTTCAATATGAAACTGCAGGAAAAAATTGCCCCCAGCATAGCAAAATGGCCCACCAGTCTTACATATTTCATCATTAAGTCAATATATGCTGTCTAAGAATGACTTTATTACACAAATATGTAGCTCAACCTCAAATAGTGACAATTTAATCTGACAGCACTGTTAAAAAATAATTTTCAAAAGAAATTTCAAATCGTGACTTCATGCAGATGGAAAAATGAATCCGTGTTAAGGATTTTATTTAACTCATTAATTAGGAAACTGGGAAGATGTTTAAGTAGCTGAAAGGGAAATCCAGAAAACATATTTAAAGATCAGGAATATGGAAATGAATGTGCGAATGGAAATAAAACTCTTCAGTCACAATGGGGGAGAGATGCTTTCTGTGTCTACAGACAAGAATTTGATTATTGCTATCAATTATTTATAGCCTACAGAGCTATAAAATATCAGAATCAGAATAAGGTAACTTACAAGGTGTGCTCTAGACAGGGGTGGACAAACCTTTTCTGTAAAGAGCTACGTAGTAAATATTTTAGACCTTGTGGGCCATATTGTCTTTGCCATAACTACTCAACTCAGCCACTGTGGAGCTGAAGCAACCATAAATAATATGGAAATACATTGTTGCGACTATGTTCAAATACCTTTTGATTTACAAAAACAGATGATGGACCGGATGTGGCCAGAGGCTGTGGTTTGCCAACTTCTGCTCTAGACAATGTGCGGTGGTTCATTGATGCATGTCTTTCCTCTTATACTCTTAAGTTCTAGGCTGAAGAATTCCTGATCATTGCTCAGATGTTCAAAGCTAGACTGCAACTTTGGGAGAGCACTAGTTTAGTTGTGATTCACACTTACTCTGAAATCTATTTTTTTTGAATTTGTGCATAAAGAAAAGGAATAAATTAGGATTCCTGCCTGAACATTTCAAATCTCAGGGGGACCATGGACTTGATGTTTTTCCTTTGGTCTTGCATTATCATCAAAATTCAATTATGTCTCAGGATTTTTCTCCCATAATTAATATACATACATACATACATATATATATACATACATACATACATATATATATATGTATATATTCTCAGAGGCAAAAAAAGTTTTGAGTGCTGACCTTGTCTGGTTTCATTCATTTCTTCTTCTAGGTTTTGGTGTAGTAAAAAATTATGTGAGGGTGGTTACTTTTAGGAAGATTTTTAAAAAGAAAATTAACCATTATATTTTAGTGTCTTTGTCTGGAGGGTTTGTCTGAATTTTTCAGTTAGCGTTATTGAACAGAAGTCTCATTCTGTTGATTCTTTAAATACTTTAAATGTCCACTTAGTGTCACATAAAATAATAAAATGATCTTCACTGAATATTTTTCTGACTTTATATAGTCTCATTAACAATACTAAGACATATTATTTTGCTCATTCTTTTCTATTCTGAACCACTTCTTTTGGCTCTAGAAAACCTGGAATTAATATGCTTTGATAAAATAATTAAAGATGATACTACACTATTTGGAATATCTTAACACTGATTTCATAAATGATGAAGTGTGTTTAGATATTTAAAATACATTTTTATTCATTAATGTTGAGTAACTTTTAAAAAATGAATCTACTATATAAGAAATTTTATACGTGTGTCTGACTACAGATGTAATCCTTTAGGGATAAGAATAGTGTTCTGTATCCCAAATTATAATTTTTTACTTCTACCAAACCACTCAAAGTAAGAAAAAAGGCAAAATTATGAGACCACATGTATGAAAGCGGTAAGGAAATCTATTTTAAATAAGCAAAAATTATAAATTACAAATAAATTTAAACATTTAAATATTTTAAATTAAAAGCATAGTCTCTATGACAAAATGTATGTTACACAAAATACAAAGATGAAACACAAACTAGGAGGTGACATTGATAATTTATAGATACAAATTGTTAATTGATATATACCCGGAATCTAGAATGAATGGCAATTTAGAAAATATAGCCAATGCAATAGAAAAATTGGCAATAATATGAATTCCTCAACGCTGAAATTCTCATGGCTAATAATCCCGAATGGCCAATAAACTGATGATGAAGTTCCCAACCTTCTTATATGCTATCAAGGGAATTAAAACCAAAAAATTAAAAAAAAAATGAGAAATAACTTTGTACTCTTAAAAATGGTAAATATCACAAAACCCTTCTGTTTGTTAATTGTCCAGTCATATGGTACCACCTAAACCTATGTAGTGCAGAAATGCCTGGAAGGGAGAGAGACCAATGCATTTGTTGAATGGCACAAATGCTCTCAACACCATACATAACCAATTGGTAATGTCTGTTAAAGTCGAAGCTGTGCGTAAGTGATGACTTGGCATTTCAACTTCTAGGAATCAGTTGAAGATACTTTTGCACATGCACAAAAGGAGGCACAGAAAGAAAAGCTTTATTTTTTGTTTTATTTTTTATTATTTCAGTAGTTTTGGGTATCAGATGATGGTTGGTTACATGCATAAGTTCTTTAGTGGCGATTTCTGAGATGGTGATGCAACCATCACCCAGCCAGTGTGCACTGTACCCCTTGTGGAGTCTTTTATCCATCCACTCTGTCCCACCTTTACCCTAGTATCCCCGGAGTCCATTATCTCATTCTTATGCATTTGTGTCCTCATAGCTTAGCTCCCACTTATAAGCGAGAACATACCATGTTTGCTTTTCCATTCCTGAGTGGCTTCATTTAGAGTAATGGTCTCCAACCCCATCCAGGTTGGTGTGAATGTAATTATTTTGTTCCTTTTTTTGGCTGAGTAGTATTCCGTTTTATATATATATATGTTTATATATATATGAATGTATAATAGGGATATATATAAATATATAATAGGGATATATATGAATATATAATAGGAATATATATACCATTTCTGTGATATAGATATACAGATATATAATATATATTCTGTGATATATATGATATACAGATATATATATATTTTATCTATCTATCTATCTATCTATCTATCTATCTATCTATCTATCTATCTGTCTGTCTATCTCATAGTTTCTTTATCCACTCATTAATTGATGGGCATTTAGGCTGGTTCCATATTTTTGCAATTGCAAATTGTGCTGCTATAAACATGCCTGTGCAAGTGTCTTTTTCATGTAATGACTTCTTTTCCTCTGGGTAGATACCCAGGAGTGGGATTGCTGGATCAAGTGGTAGTTCTTTTTTTTACTTCTTTAAGGAGCCTTCATACTGTTTTCCATAGTGGTTGTACTAGTTTACATTCCCACCAGCAGTGTAAAAGTGTTCCATTTTCACCACATTCACACCAACATCTGTTATTTTTTGATTTTTAATTATTACTATTCTTGTAGGAGTAAGGTGGTATCGCATTGTGGTTTTGATTTCTCTGATCACTAGTGATGTTGAGCATTTTTTCATGATTTTTGGCCATTTGTATATATTCTTTTGAGAATTGTCTATTTATGTTCTTAACCCACCTTTTGATGGGATTGTTTGTTTTTTTCTTGCTGATTTGTTAGAGTTCCTTGTAGATTCTGTATATTAGTCCTTTGTTAGATGCACAGATTGTGAAGATTTTCTCCCACTCTGTGGGTTGTCTGTTTACTCTGCTGATTATTTCTTTTGCTGTGCAGATGTTTTTTAGTTCAATTAATTCCTGTCTATTTGTCTTTATTTTTCTTGCATTTGCTTTTGATTTCTTGGTCATGAACTCTTTGCCTAAGCCAATGTCTAGAAGAGTTTTTCTGATGTTATCTTCCAGAATTTTTATGGTTTAATGTCTTAGATTTAATTCTTTGATCTGTCTTAAGTTGATTTTGTATAGGGTGAAAGATGAGGATCCAGTTTCATTCTTCTATATGTGGCTTGCCAATTATCCCAGCATCGTTTGTTGAATCAGGTATCCTTTTCTCACTTTATGTTTTTGTTTGCTTTGTTGAAGATCAGTTGGCTGTAAGTATGTGGCTTTATTTCTGGGTTCTCTCCCCTTTCCCCTAGGGATGGGGCTTCCTGAGAGCTGACTGCAGTGATTGTTACTGCTTTTCTGGGTCTAGCCACCCAGCAGGGCTACCAGGCTCTGGGTTGGTGCTGGGAATTGTCTGTAAATAGTCCTGCGATGCGATTCATCTTCAGATCTCCCAGCCATGGATAACAGCGCCTGCTCTGTTGGAAGTGGCAGGGGAGTGAGGTAGACTCTGTGAAAGTCCCTGGTTGTAGTTTTTTTTTGTTTTGGTGCACTGGTTTTATTGAATGCTGGTTATGCAAGCAGTGACGTCGTCACATGGACAGACTCAGGACCTCTGGTTAGCCAAGCCAGGATGTTGCAGGTGGTGGAATTAGCTGTTGTTTTCTCCTTCTATGGAGCAGGATTGTTCTGTTGTAACTTGGCCTAC